TGGTTCATCAATTGGAACAAATGTAGCACACTAATGCAAGATGTTAATAATAATAAAGAAAACTTTAAAGAGTGGGGCATATGGGAGATTTACTTTCTGTTCAATTTTTCTGTAAACTAGAAACTACTCCAAAAACTAAAGTCTATTAATTTTTTAAAGGGGAGTAGTTGTTGCAGAGAATGAGAGAAAGGGAAGACTGAAGTCAGGTTAAATGACAAGTATAGAATCTAGTCTAGACTCGTATAGAATCCATGTTGGAAAGAAAATAATATTACAAATCACTGTCGGTTGGGGTATAAAACGTCAAAGCAAGGCATATAGATTAGCAGTTGGGTGCCCTATGCTTATATTTAACTTTCTCCAGGCTTGTGCACTGCCTTAGGAATACATATGTTCAGAATCTGGGAGCCATGCCGTTTTTGCTAAATACCTTTAACAGGGCAACAATAATTATCAATGAGTACACCTTGGAATACACAAAGAAAAAACATACCACTCAAAGTTATTTAGAAGAGACACAAACTTAATATCTACCTTCCTTACGCCTTAACACTGATACTAACATTAAGAAACAAAAACAAAATAAGAAAATGTCTGTTTTTGGTTAACTTGAAGACCCAATTCTGCTCCATGCCCTGAATTTAAAGACCAGCAATTTATAAAGTTGATTCTTCCCTACTGCTTTTCTGACTTTCTTAAGCTTCATATAAGCTAGTATCATCATCATTGATACATACTTGGGCCTAAATTATCTAATTTCATTAAGCATTTTTTGAAATCTAGAAATCTAAACATGGCATGAGCCAATGTTTCCTTTATTTTGACCTAATTTTTCTTTTAATTCCAGTTGGAAATTTATTGTAAAATCTGGATGGCCAGTTTCTTCTATTTATTAACAATGATAGCTCACCTTTATTGAGAGCTTGGTTCAAAAACCAAGCACTGCCCTAAATAGGAGAAACAGGTGGCCAGATAATTCTCCAAATGAGTAATTCCTATTTTATTTTTACTGCAGGTGGACTCTCAGGAGAATGAGAAGTGTTATTTTTCCCTTCCCTTTTCTTCTCTGCCTGGGTGTGGGGTAATGGGATGGCAGGACATGGGGAATGTTGTAGAACGGGGGCCTTAACATCCCTCCTATATGAGGGACAATGAAAAACACAAGTCCACCAGGTATCTGGAAGATGAACCTTTCCTGCTTTTGTTTGCAAGTGCAGCCTAAGAGGAAAGGTTCCCCCAGGTGATGCTGCTGGAGGCAGAGATGGCTGTACCTGGAACAGGAGGGAAGCTCCAGATAGGAGAAAGCAGAGATGATTGAGAAGGTGTGTTCCACAGGGGACTAGGTCCATAGGCAACTCTAATGAGGCTGGACATGAGTCCTGGAGAGACAAAACACTAAGAACTGATGCCTGGGGAGCCAGGTAAGATGTCTACACCCCTCTTGTCTGTTCTGAAGAGCAGAACCACCAACCTGGGCCAGGAAGTCTCATTGGCACTGTTGGGTGGCAGACTTAGAGCTGCTTCTCTTGTTTTCCAGCACCTTGTATGCCTGGGAATTTTATACGACCCTTTGAGGGGAGAAGGTAACCAGTGCCCTACTGGAGCTGGCCATGCTGGCTCAGAGCCAGTTGTTAAACTTGCAGGAATTTTGTGAGCCAGTTGTTAAGCACAGCCATTATTAAATCATATAAACTTATAATTAACATAATTCATATTAAATACAAAAGCAATAAATGCTCAACATTCATCACTTTCTGAGTATTTGACTATATTTTATTATTATCTGTGCTCTTGCTGTTATTTGCCTTACTATAGCTAAATGGTGGAAATGCTGTTACAGGGTGAGTGATATTGTGATGTATAATAAGAAATGCACATTTGGTCTTTGTCCCAGTTCCTGTTACACATCTCCTAAAACTCCTGAAATTGCCTAAGTGATAGGAGCGTCTTTTATCATTCATAACCAGCCTCTTTCACCTGCACCTGAGTTTATGTTAATGAGGTGGCTTTTGGAAAGCCCCCAGATAACCAGAGGATGGGGCTGGTTGCCAGAGGAACCATCCACGTGATTACAGGTTGGAACTTCCAGCACCACCCCAGACCTCTAGGGAGCAGCGAGGGTCTGGAGAGTGACTTAGTCACCAATGGCCAATGATTTAACCAATCATACCTACATAATGTAGCCTCCATCAAAACCTGAAAGGACAGGGTTTGGAGAGCTTCTGGGCTGGTGAACACAGGGACAACACAGGGACGTGCTGAGGGTGGCCCATCCAGAGAGGATGAGGAAGCTCTCTGCCCTTCCCTCATGCCTTGCCTCAGGCATCTCTTCCTTCTGGCTTTTCCTGAATTGTCTCCTTTTATAATAAAATAGTAATCTATTAAGGAAACTATTTTTCTGAGTTCCATGAGCCTTTCTAGCAAATGATCAAACCTGATGTGGGGGTTGCAGGAACCTCTGATTTATAACCAGCGGATCAGAAGCACAGGTGACAGCCTGGACTTGCTGTTTGCATCTGAAGTAAGGGCAGTCTTGTGGGACTGAGCCCTTAATCTGTGGGATCTGATACTATCTCCAGGTACACAGTGTCAGAACTGTGTTAAATTGGAGGCCCCCCAGTCTGCGTCCACTAAGAGGTAGAACTGTTTGGTGTGGGAACACCCCCTATCCCCAACATCTGCTGTCAGAAGTGCAGAAGTGTAGAGTGAATAGAGAGAAACAGTGAGTTGTCCTACTTAGGGTGCCACTGCACATCCTTGCCAGCTCCACATGGAGGAACGCACATTGGTGACTTATTGTCAGTCTTAGTGAGAGTGTTTATACTATAGAAATTGACAAAGCCTACAGGTCAGGGTTTGATCTATTGTTCTGGACCAGGAGTCAGCAAACCATGGTCTGCGAGACAAATCTAGCCCACCATGTGTTTTTGTAAATAAAGTTTTATTCGCATACAACAACACCCATTCGTTTATGCATTGTCTCTGACTACTTTGGCCATTTTTACTGCTTTCTCTCCAACAGGAGAGTAGTTGAAGCAGAGACTGAAAGGTCTCCAAAGCCTTAAATATTTACGAAAAAGTTTTGCTGACCCCTGGTCTAAACTTAAGAAAGGGGTTTAAAAAAAACAGTTGATCTCATAGAAGTAAAAAGTAGAACAGAGGATACTAGAGGCCGGGAAGTGTAGCAGGAGAGATTTGTTAAAGGATACAAAAATTGCAGCTAGATAGGAAAAATGAGTTCTAGCATTCTGTAGCGGCAGTCCCCAATATTTTTGGCACCAGAGACCAGTTTCATGGAAGATAATTTTTCCACAGACCAGGTGGCAGGTGGATGGTTCAGGATAACTCAAGCACATTACAGTTATTGTGCACTTTCTGTTATTATTTCATTGTAATATATAGTGAAATAATTATACTACTTACCATAGTGCAGAGTCAGTGCAGCTTGTTTTCCTGCACTGTGATCCCAACTGGGGGTGATAGGAGACAGTTGATTTATTATGGTCTCTGTGCAGTCAAACCTCTCTGCTAACAATAATCTGTATTTGCAGCCACTCCCCAGTGCCAGCATCACCGCCTCAGCTCCACTTCAGATCATCAGGCAGTAGATTCTCATAGGGAGCACACAACCTAGATCCCTCGATTGTGCAGTTTACAGTAGGGTTCCCAATCCTATGAGAATCTAATGTCACCACAGATCTGACAGGAGGCGGAGTTACTCAGTGATGCAAGAAATGGGGAGTGGCTGTAAATACAGATGAAGCTTTGCTCACTCACGCACCTGCCACTCACCTCCTGCTGTGTAGCTCGGTTCCTAATAGGCCCCAGACCAGTACTGGTCAACAGCCTGGGGCTTGGGGACTGCAGTTTTATAGCACTGTGGGATGACTATAGTTAACACTAATAGTTTCAAATAGCTAGGAGAAGGATAACAAATGTTCTCAAGACAAAGAAATTGTAAATGTTTGAGATGATGGATATGCTAATTATGCTCATTTGATCATATGTATCAAAACATCACCATGTACCTTATAAATATGTACAATTATTATGTCAAATTAAAAACTTTTTAAAAGAGAATCTATGAAAATATCAAAAATTGGTAATACCTTTTGCCTCTGGAGAGGATGGGTGGGGATTAGAATCTTAGGTAAGATTTCTTCATTGCATATTTTAAAATAATTTCTGCTTTTACCACATATATTTTTTTCAATAAAAAGTTAATTTTTGGAAAGAAAACAAAGTGATAGAGAAATGCTAATAATGCACTTAAATTTAAAAGTGTGTTGTATCTGTGGCCTATAGTTGTGTTTGAATAGCATAAAAAATTAAAGAAATATTATTCCAAAAAAAAAAAAAGAAATATTATTCCAATAATCAAAACTGTTTTCCAATTCAGTAACAAGATAGTCACATCTAGTCATGTTGCAAACTAGTGAAGTTCTGAAATACATCTTCATTATTTCATTTTCATATAACTCAGTAACATAAATGAAAGTATCAACCAACATCAGTCTCAAAACTATACACAGGGAGCCAGCTATTACACATTTAGCAATGAGGCCATCACCGAATCCAACTGAATAATTCCATTCAACTCACACCACTTTGGTAATGGTATGCCTTTCTGCTGAATCTGTTTGCTTTTCAAAAAAAGAACCTTCCACATTTCTTGCAAGTGTTGTGAAACATATTCATAACATGCTATTTAAACTTCACAACCATATGATGATGCTGGTACTACAAACCCCACTCAATAGGTGAAGTAATAAATAGAGAGGTTAAGAAACATCACACAGTATTGAAAGCCAGGATTCAAACCTAGAGTTATTGATGATCTGAGTACACACATTTGAAAAATATAGCTTCATTAGCCATTGTTTGAGAAAAGAAAAGCAACAGTGAACTCAGTTATACTTTAAAAATTTGTATTTTATTACAATATCAATGTATTAATATATTTGAAAAAGTTAGATGTGAAACATTTATTCATTCTCCAGGCAATGTTTCACATGGATTCACAAACCTTCGTAATAATTCAGCACTGACCTCAGAGTTCCGCAGCCAATGGCTAAAAACTTTGGAAACAATTCTTGTGGCTCATCTTTAGCTCCCTCTTGCTAAGAGACCGGATTCCCCACCATACACTCGACCCCAGACTTTGCTCCCTTCCCCATGAACCACAACTGAAGCAACAAGGAGCTACTTTTAAACTGGAGAAAATAAACAGTGTTTAGGATGTATTTGCCCATGGCAAGGACTGGACTGCAGGGAGGGGAGCTCGCACCACCTGGAGGCTGGACAGGCTAGAAGCTCTGGCATAGCGGGGTGGGGGTGGGGGGCAGGGGCAAGATATGTAACCCTAACAATATCTGTACCCCCATAATATGAAGTAATAAAAAACATTCAGAAAGACTGTGTGGTCAGTCTTTCTGGACCACAAGCACCTTCATCAGATCCCCCAAGCCTGAATGCATGGTCTGGCGGCCATGGGATGTCCCTCCACCGAGCAGGCCTTCCCAGCGTTGGGGACCTCCCGGGGTGGCAATGGGGTAGGGAGTTTCCTTGCAAAGGCTCGGTGGTGAGAGTGAGCCGGCACATGAACACTCCAGCAGGCAGGCTGGAGTGACTAGAGTAAAGGACTTCAGCAGGGAGAGGTAAGAGGTCTCTGGGATCAGTTCTAAGCTGATAAGCTCCAAGTCTGACTTGTGTATTTTTCTAAATGATGTCACAAATAACAGTAACACAGTGAGTCCCACCACATCCTGACCTGCACCTCACCCCAGAGAGTGGTATTCCCTGGGCCAAGACCAGGCCCAGAGACCTCTGCATAGGCAACATGGGAAGGCAGGTGAGCAGAGGTGACTGGAACTTTCTGTCCAAGAAGCCGACAGGGAAGTCGGAGTGGTCACAGACCAGGGAAGTCCCTGGCAAGTGTGCAGCCATGAATCCAAGAGCCAGGGCTCAAAGAGCAAGGACAAGTCACATGGAGAGGAAGCCTGGGGGACCTGGAGTGACAACTGAAAGAGGCACCACTGTCGGCGGCCCGCTGTGGTGTGCTGCCTGGGTGGAGGCTGAGTGGAAGGAGACCACACAGACAGAGGAGAGCATTATGGTGCACAAGAAAATTGAATTTTCAGTTTTCTCTCTTTTGCCTTCTTGGGTCATTAATTATTGTGGTTTTGAGAACAACGGACTACAAAAACCACAATAAATTCCATAGAATGCTTTAAAGTTAATTATGTAGTTCAAAAAGGCAAATAATCTGGACAAAAGCAACGTGGAGAGGGGAAATTGTGGTGTTTTTTACTATCTGGACCTTATGTAATGCCAAGCCCTTACTGGGCACGTAGCCCAACATGTAGCCCAGATTTCTCCATGCAGTAGTGAAGTTCAGGTGCATGTTTCGTTTCTGCAGACAGACGGCAGGACAGAGTACTCCTCCTCCACCTGCCACCATCACCGTCCGAGGAAGACAGGAATGAGAGGTATGAGGCTGACCTGCAATCTCAGATGAAAAGAATCTTTTCAGTTCCTTGCCCTTGGAATGAACAAACATCTTATCAGAAACCATACAAAGTGCTATACCGTTCTCATCCACGTTTTGTCTACAAATCCCTTCCTAGCCGCTTATGGTCTCACACAAACTCCTATCGTTACACTGAAAACACTTACAAGAGAGTTGCCAATCATTACCTTATTGCCAAATCTGCTGGCTTCTTTTAAGTTCTTATTCTCCTTAGTTTTCATAACACTAGACTGCCTCTCTCTGCAACCAGGCCTTTGTCAAAAGAAAAAACCAAAATGATTTGATGTCTACAATATGGAGATAGAGGGAGAGGCATGGGGCCAAGACAACACTGGTATTTCGTGTGTGTGTGTCTGAAACGTGTTGCCAAAACAGACACTGGGAAGTTGGGAAGGAAGCAGGGTGTGGGGGAGAGTTTTATATGTGTTCCACAGGCTCTTGGAGAGCTGGAAGTCCAAATCCGGGTAGGGGGCCATCTATATAAAAAGAGTTGTTCAAGTTGTGGAAAAGAATGTGGCCACATAGAGAAAAAATACAGGATGCCCTGAATTCAGCTTCCCTCCCTGCAGCCCAGTCCCTGCCACTGACAAATACGTCCTAAACACTGTTTATTTTCTCCAGTTCAAAAGAGGCTCCTTGTTGCTTCAATTCTAAAGCCCTGTGCCTGGCATTCAAGGCTCTGTGAAAGCTTCTAATTTTCCCACTGGATTACTCACTACTTTGAGGCAGCTCACCCCTTCCGGGAGCTCACCCCTGCCCAAGCCCAGCCCATTTCTCTCACCTTAAATGGGCTTCTCTTTTGTCCTCCCCTACACAGGCTGCCTTCCCCTCACACTTCTCCCTCATTTTCCCATTTGATTAATGCCCCTGCCTGTTTGTCAGCTGTCATGAGTAGCACATAATTTATTACTTCAAGATCATCTTCGGCCAGGCACAGTGGCTCATGCCTGTAATCCTAGCACTCTGGGAGGCCAAGGCAGGAGGATTGCTCGAGGTCAGGAGTTCGAAACCAGCCTGAGCAAGAGTGAGCCCCCGTCTCTACTATAAATAGAAAGAAATTAATTGGCCAACTAATATATATAGAAAAAATTAGCTGGGCATTGTGGCACATGCCTATAGTCCCAGCTAGTCGGGAGGCTGAGGCAGGAGGATTGCTTGAGCCCAGGGGTTTGAGGTTGCTGTGAGCTAGGCTGACACCACGGCACTCACTCTAGCCTGGGCAACAAAGTAAGACTCTGTCTCAAAAAAAAAATAAAAATAAAAATAAGGTCATCTTCTATTTCTTCTCCCTTCATCTGAGTGCACCCTTTTCCCCAACCAAATTGGCAAGAGGGCCGTGTCTTTACTACCTTTATGATTTTGCCACAGCAAAACTAAAGTTTTGCCACAGCAAAACTAAAAAACTGATTATTTGCAGTAGCAAAGGAGATTCTCTTTGCAAATTTATTCATTCCATATTCTTTCTTATCGTGATAAAATATGTATAACATAAAATTTACCATCTTAACCAATTTAAATGTAAAATTTAGTGACATTAAATGCATTCATATTATTGAGCAACCATCACCACCATCCAACTCCAGAACGTTTTTTACCATACCAAACTGCAACTCTGTGCCCATTAAACAGTAACTCCCCACTCCCCTCTCCTCCCAGCCCTGGTCACCTCTATTCTACTTTCTGTCTCTATGAATTTAACTGCTCTAGGTATCTTGTATAAGTAGAATCGTACATATTTGTTTTTTGTGACTGGCTTATTTCACTTAGCATAATGTCCTCAAGGTGACTATATATGCTTTTAACTAGTTCCCAGCCAAACTTAAAATCCATTCTTTTCTACATATTTAACAATTGGTATGGCATGAGCATTGACCGTGGGGAAAGACACTGGGACCTATCACAACAGGTGCCACCCACAAATGCCCCACACCCCAGGCCCCCCAACCGTTACCACCCTGGGACCCTTACAACAGCTTGTCAGAAACATATCTGCTTTGGAATATGAGGAACTGCATCTAAAAGTAACAGCCTGGAAACAGCATTATGCAAACTTCTTTATCATCTCACCGAATCTTCAGAGCAACTTAACAACCTAGACCTGTAGTCTTCCCATTTTAAACATGAGGAAACCAAAGTGCAATGAGGCCAAGTAATTTGTCCCAAATCGCAGCCAGAAAATATTGGAGCTGAAACTCAAGACACACAAGCTGGTGTCCATTTGACCTCAAATGCCTCACTCCTAAACACCCACCACAATTGCCCAATACCGCCCACCCAGTGTAGAGAAAAGCAAGGAAATCAACCAGAGGGTCCCAAAAATAAGACTTGAGCAAAATGGTTTGCAGCATTGAAGAAAGAATGCTGAGAAGGTGACTTTAAAACAGTCTGAGTGTATAAATTGTGATCAGACTATTAAAGTCTATTTTAAAGAGAGGAGAACAAATGGGCTTCAAGGGTAGCAGGAGGAATCTCATTAGTTAGGTGGGTTATCTGAGGGTTGCGAGTTCCCTTCCTGGGAGATGGCAGAAGAAGGAGGGGCTCGAACTTGTCTCCATGCAGCCCGCCTGGAGGCAGAGAGCAAACCCGGTGATCCTGTGCGACTCCCCCAGCAGGAGAAGTCCCTGAGGTAACACTTGTGAAGCCTTTGAGTTCCTGGAAGAAAGGCTCTCTAGAAACACTAGGCAAGTGTCATAAATATGCATGTGTATTTTATTCTCTGTTATCATTATAGTCCTACTGGGTGGGGTGCATGTCTGACACTCTCAAAATTTAAGGGGCAATGTCCCCTTTGATTACAGGGCATTCTGCAGTGAACTAACTTCCAAACTCTCTCCAACTTGCATTCAAGCGATATCTTTTAAATTCAAGCCAAGTGGTGAATTTGCCTTGAAGTGACTATTTCACTGCACAGGGAAGATGCCCGCTTTTCATTTCCATGCCTTTATAGCTGGTTCTCTATGCATTGCCTCAGAGGCTGAGTTTGTCAAGATAAGTAAACAGCAAAACCCAGTGTGCTTCTTCTCAGGGTGACCCGGTCTTCTGAGGCAGATTAAGTCTAGTGAAAGGTGACACCCGAGTCATCCTACCTTCAAAATTTCTCTGAGAGAAAAAATGAAACCGAAAGCATGCCCATTCCAGATGACAGGAGGCATCTAAACGTTGTAATCATTCTTACTGATAAATTTATGCTCAGATCTGGGATGGGATTTTTCTATAGCAGACACATCACCTTTGTCTTATATTCCTTCTGTGAAATCTATAAGCCTTTGTAGTTCATGTTCAATTTCCACTCCTCTTTCTATTTTAAAGGGACTCCAAGTGAGTGGGCAAGCTTCTACCAAGCATTTAATTCCTTACAATGCATTGTGTCCACCTTCTCCTCCGGGTTGTCTACTGCTGATCGTCATCCTGTAATCCTCAGCATGATGTAAATAGAGTTTCAAAGCTGCCTGCATTCTGTGGCCGCTGAGGTCACTTCACCACAGGGATTATTCAGATTTTCATTGTCTAAAAATGTTATTTCGTATGTGGTAATTGTATAAACATCTGGATGAATTCAGACTGGTATTTGCTAACTTTTCTACAAAATGAAATTGGCTTCAATGCACTGGTATATATGGAAGAAATGAAAAATAATGGAGTTATTTCTGTTAGTATCAAAATCTGGAAATTCTGTCTTCTAAAAATGTGGTTATACTTCATTCCTAAATTAATGCCTTCCCAGTATATACAAAGCAGCCAATGTCTATGACAGACCTCTCACCCTAAAATGTAGTATTTTTTAGTATGTATTTGACGCACTGACAAGCGCTGTAGGAGGCTTTTGATCTATTGGCAATGTTGTATTCAGAGGAGTCAGAACATATATACACGCCACCAAAATCAACCTTGGCACAGTCAACCCTACCTTTCCAATGAGGCACAGGATAGAACCACAGAGAGCTCCTAATGGTGCAGCAATACATATTGATCATTGAGAGGGACAGAAGACTGGAATACCCAAGAAGTGACCCAGTCACTTCTGCTCTGGAGACATGTCCTGTGCCTTCCCCCAAGAACACATCAATTCATTTACGTTCACATACCACCACGTGGTATGTCACGTATGTGACGTATGTTACATACGTTCACATATCGTCATAGTGGCTGAATTAAACAGGTAAAGATAATCTCCCAGAAATTCACCCCAAACCCAGACATAAGCCAACCTTAAAATTCGCACTTGTTACTCACTGAGCAGATGAAGCACTGGTGTCCTGGTGAACATGGAGACTTCCACGGTTGATACTGTCTACTCTAGTATAGCACAGTGGGCACACGGTGACTAATTATCATGAAGCAGAGGGTAACAGAGACACACCAAGACACAAAACCGAGACACACAAATTGGGAGACAACACTGCCTCATGCAGTTGAACTGTCACATTGACATCTGCAGACCAAGGAGTCATGTGAAGCCTCCAAAAATCAGACAAGCAAAACCCAAAGGCCTGTATAGCAAGACCATAATCCGGTGACTAGGTTAAATATCTAAAGATAGACTATAAGTCAGGAGGACTTTGACAATCGTGGTAACACAGAGGAAGAACCTCCAATTCCGACTGAGAAGGGAGGGCTGCCTGGCTCAGGGACAGAACAGTTAGCCCCAGAGGCAGGTTATATTCCCTAAGGAAGACAACTAACTCATGCTGGTTCTCAGTCTGATGCCAGTAAGCATTCAAATTCTTTCACCAGGCCCCTTGTTGGAAGTCCATGCTAACCTACAACCTTCTGATTATACTGTGTCTTCCCAGGTCACATGCACATTTCTAAACAATAAATTGGCATTCTGGTCCATACATCATCCTTTTGAGTTTTGTTAATGTTGGTCCATCCCCCTGAGACAAATCCAGTGAAAACTCTCTTCCCTTGTTTTTAAGCTCCCCAACCTCCACCATGGTTTTAAACAATGAACACATATTACTTACAAAAGTGGGTAAATATTTAATAATACATTGATTTCAATTATGATGTATGAAACATTGTGATACACCACAGAGTAACAACAAGAATAAAATAATCCCATCTGGGGGGAAAATGTAAATTAAGTAAATTATTTTGTCGACTGGCTTGTAGACAGTTTGAGGGCAGAGGCTGGGTTTTTATACATTTTATATCTGTTCTTTGTGTTTATTTTATTCTCTACCACCCCTGGCCCAGTGCTGGGTTTGTGAGCATGCAAGTGTTTGTTAGTTTATCAGGTGAATAAACCACAGCTGTCAACTGCAACCGTGTGACACAAACTAAGCCAAATGTCCTGACCTGTGAAGCCAAAGGGCAAAGCCTCAAACACCAGTGGGCCCAAGAGGGACGGTCCTGACTCCTAAATAAGACCCAAGACATCCTGTCCTCAGAAAGCAACAACTGGCTCATGGGCTGGGTTTCTTTCAACTACATCATCTTTGGCTCCGGTGCAGCATGTGAAGGAGGAAGGAAATCTCGGGACTTTGTGAGCTCTTTGTGTGCCCTTCCCTGACTCCTTCTGAGATCACCGTGGGTATGGGGATGTCCCCATGTCTAGATGTTCTTGCAAGTAGCAGCAGCAGTGACGAAGCATTGTCAGCTCTCCCTACTCACTGGGCGAGAAAAGATTTTTCATTTCATACATCATTTACAACTTGCTGCTGTGATTCTAGAAAACCAGTGGGCTTTATGGAGTTAATGAGCAAGAAAAACATATTTGGTGGACGTGTTAATTTTTTGAAAGTTCTGTAGAGCCCAGGACATTAGGCAACGTACATGGGACGGCTGGAAAACTCGGGAAGCCCTCTCCCCTGAATTAATTCCACCCAGCTCTGGGGGCACCTGGCTATTTACTAATCATAATTCAGCAAATGTGTCTTAATAGAAATTAAACAGCAAATACATCACTCACTTTGTATTCTAAGTGTCTTTATGTGGGAACATTTGGGACCATGGGCAAAAGTCACCACTGGCCTGACCGAGTGTCTCTTCCACATACTGGTCTCAACAAGAGAGAAGGACGTGGAGGAGTGCTGCAATGACAATTCAGATCTAAGGGGGGAGGAAAGCCCACAGAATCACAGTGCTCATGACTTCCAACATGAAGTAGGACAATCCATCTAAAGAATAACGCAGTAATGAAGGTGAAAGACTAGACATATGGATGAAATGGCTCTGCCCAAGGACCAAAATAAGATACTGAAATAAGTCTTGATTTATTAAAGGATCCTTTTTAGAGTTCTTATCCTTATCTATCAAGATCTCTGATACTTTAAGCTGGTTAAATACATCTAAGAATTAATCTAGCCATGAAACCACTGAACCAGGAATTTTATTTTCACAGTCTCTGTCTTTGAGTTTCATCTTAAGTTACACATTTGAGATTGATCCCCCTAGCATTGTGCTAGCAGAATTCACACCCAAAACTGAGAGATAGAACACGCATTTTTCTCATCTCTTTTCCACACAGAGGAGATGTGTAGATTTGTGTCTTATTAGAGATGGGGGAATGTTTGCAGCACTATTAAACTGCAACTATGTGAATTGAATTGAATTTTAAATTGAAACACAGAATGATAGCTATTACTAATATTCCCCTGTAAAATTGACAATGGACAGGGGAAACATTTTAATGTTATAAAATTCACTTAAAGAGAGTCAATTTCTGGACTCCCGCCTATCACAAAGATTACCACCTATAAACACACACACATATACACAATTCAAAACTCCCAGAGAATGTAAATAGAATAGATAGTTCCGATTAAGCGAACAGCTCAGGAGACGGGATACTTTTGCTGAGAATTGTTGTACAAAACTAGTTGTTTTCTAGATAAGACAAAATGCAAAACAATCTATTTCTGAAAAGATACAAAATAAGTATCACTATTTTGGGGAGGAACATAATTAAGTTGGAGAATATAAACCCAGGAAACACTTTTGTATTTTGACATTTAATGGCATTTTGTGTTCCTTCTTGCTGTGGGTGTGATAAACCTCTACTTAACAATTGAGAAGCGGTTTTCAGTAACTGAGCCTGCAGCCAAGGCTTCAGCTCAGAAAGATGGGGTCTGTCTCTGGTGCCCAGTGAATGCTTAGGAAGGTCAGTAAGAAATTTCTGAATTTGCAAATCACTTTCAGAGAAATGAAGAGAAGGGATCTGAGAAATGCGACCAACGAGAACAAGGCTATGGATAATGAACAACCAGCACAGTCCCTGGGGGGCCACTCTAAATGCCTGCCTTGGGTGTCTCCCCTCTAGGAAGGACCATGCTGCCCCCTCCCTCCTCTCAGCATCTCAGTCTCCTCCCCAGGCTATACTGAGCAGACAGTGGCCCCTACAGGGTGCACCACATGTCCTCTAGCACGACCCTCAAGCACCAATAATTCCCCCACCTAAACCTCAGACTCACTTTTCCCAGGCTGATGTGATAGATTCTGCAGGTCTACATTATATAACTAAGGCCTGGCCAGTCTGCTCCATGGCAATCTCAAAATTCCCAGCAGAACCCCCGCATAGGTGGGGGAAAACAGTACCAAATGAAGACATCAGAGAGTCTGGCAAGAGACAGCTGTCTGAAGCTGACCTGCAATGAGGAAAGAAGACTCTGGAAAGGTTGGAAGAAAGCCTCCCTCCCTCCCTCACTGTAGCACAAGTCTGAAACGCCACCTGACCTTTCACCTGCAAGGCCACCAAGAACCCCATCCCCCTAGCCTCCAGCTCAGTGAGGATGCACCCTAGGCTTAGTCCACTGGGCCACGCCCTCCGCTGCGTGCGGAAAGAAGCTGTGACTTACTTCTCACCCAGAGAAAACGGCAGAGGTGATTGGATAGTCCTTTCTGTGACTTTGTCATACTACGTATGACTCCATTTTAGTGGACTAGAATGAGAGATTATCCCCTTGCCAGCTGGAGTGGAGAGAATAATACAACAAAGATGTCTACAATTAGACAAGATGTCTAATTCCAAGAACCTGTGACATGGCAAAAAGGACTGTGCAGATGTAATTAAGAGTATAAGTAAGATGTAATTAAGAGACCCCCAACCAGGAGAGTATTTTGGATTATCCAGAGGGGTCCAATCTAATCACATAAGGCCTTAAAAGCAGACAACTTTCTCCAGTTGGAGCCAGGGAGACAGGGAGTCAGAATAAGAAGGATTCGAGGTGTGCTTACTGGTCCTGAGATGTAGGATCCACGTGCAGGGTCCAGAGAAGTGCTTCTAAGAGCCAAGGGCAGTCCTGGCTGACACCCAGCCAGAAGTAGCCAGGGGACCCCTATCCTACAACTACAAGGAACTGAATCCTGCCAAAACCTAAATGATCCTGGAAGCTGCTGCTTCCCCAGAACTTCTGGCACCTTACAGGACCCAGAGCAGAGAAAGCAGCTGAGCCAAGTGACACCCAGACATATGACACCCGGAAAGCAGGAAATATTACGTTGGTGGTATTTTAAGACACCAACTTTGTTATAGCAGCATTAAGAAACTAATACAGTGGGCTTGAAGACGTAGGCTGCCATGTTGTAAAAGGGCCATCTGGCAAGATGTGGAGAGCAGCCCCACTTGACAGCCACCCAGGAAACAGGACCTCAGCCCCACAGTCACATGTAACTCAATTCTGCCAACCACCACGAGCTAGAAAGATGACCCCCAACTCCAGATAGGAATTCAGCCTGACCAACACCTTCATGGTAGCCTTGTAAGCCCAAACTCCTGTGGCTTGGAAACTATGAGATGGCAAATGCAGGTTGTTTTAAGCCACCAAGGTCTGGCGTTACTGGTGACATGGCAATCTATAACTACACCCCCTCCAGGATTGTGGTTTGTGCTCCTTCCTGTCCACATGCTCCCAACACCTAAACCAACTTTTACTAATTCAGGGCTGGGGGAGTAGAGGCTGGTCTGTAGCATATAAGGGCTTAGGATAAAGATCTGACATGATAGAACACCTACTATATGCAAATATAGAGTCTCTCTTTTCCACCAGAATGTAAAATCGTGTCTCTGTAAGTCTAGAGACCATGCCCTGTGCTTCCCTGCACATCGTCGCCACTCCACCCAATGATGGCCATACAGGTTCTCCAGTGTGGACGCCAAACAATAGCTAACTTCTGTTTACGGCATTTGCCTTTGGAGTCTGCTTCTGAGTCATGCAGGAATATCATTCTATTACTTTACTTCAAATGTTTCTTTCCTAAAGTATTTTATCTAGTTTGGTGACAATGTCAGACAGAATCCTTTGATGTATGAGTTCAAACAGGCCCGAACAAAACAAACGGATGAAAAACAAGAGGATTGAAAAGTCCTGTGCAGGCAGGGTGGGCTGCCTTGGCTTCTCCCCCCTCGGTCCTGCCCTCCTCTGCACTTGTTATATTCTCTGATAGGCTCTTCTCGTGGGCAAGATAGCAGCCAGCAGTCCTGGTTCTCCCTCTCCTCTCACCCCAAGAAGTCACAAGGTCTGGCCCAACTCTACCTGGCTTATTGGGTCATGTCAGTCCTTCTGGACAATCGCTACAGAGGAGAGGACCGAATTTCCTGCCTGGCTGAAGCCGGGGCATCCACCCCCTACCAGAGAGTGAGGGAGGTCCGGCCTGTGCAAGCCGTGTGGACTCTGAGTCGGGGGGATGCTTTCCCTAAAGGACAGGCAGGGAGCAGCAAATGCTAAATGGGCAAAACCGGCAGCTCTCCACTCCTCTGAGCCACCTTATTTATTGAATTTGGCTCCAGCTGATGTTAAACAATTTTAAACACCAAATCAATTTTCCTAGAAAAAAGCTGTCACACCATAAAGACATCCATATATTGTGTCTGGACTAGACTATAGCCTGGAAGGTCCCTTCCATCTTTGGACTCGATGAGTCTAATTGTTATTGGAGCCTAATTGGAATACATGTTTAGTCTCTCAACGTAAGTACCTTTGAAATTATTTTTGAAAGGAAAAACATTCACCTGTTTGAAAAACCAGTCCCATCTCTTCCAGGTTGCATCTTGAGGGCCATCTCCTGGCTTGCACAGAGTTAAATGGTCACCCTCTGGCCACTGCTGCAGACACTCAGGCCCTGTCTCTCTGAACATCCTGCAAGGGGAGAGGGAAGGTGCCGGGCAGTGCTGAGTGTGCACTTTCTCAACTCCCCAAACTTCATTGTTCAAAAGCAAATGTCTTCAAACAAAGCAGTTACAAGTCCTTAGTCAGTTGAAGTTTAAAAACAAAGGTACCTTTGAGTTGTCTAAACACATACTAAAAGAAAAGGTTATTTTTTAACTTTCAAAAAAGACGGATGGATCCTTTTGGTGTTCAAATACAAGCCAAGTAGAATTTCGCTAAAACTTTCCCCTGAGTACTATTTTGCGACAGAGACCAGGCACCAGGATTTTTTAATCTGAAAGAATTTTTTTCTTTCAAAAGAGAAAAAGACATAGTTAGAAGAAAATGAATAACGGAGCTAAATAGGAAAGACTTACCAACCATATAAGTACCTAATATTAAGATATCGTCAAATGAATTGTTCATACCTTTCTCGTTAGATGTCATTTTGGGATCCAGATGATAAGTTTAGTGGAAATCACTCAAACTTCCTTGAGGTAGAACAGTCACTAAATCTTTAACCCATTTCAGAGATATATTGTACGATTCTCCTATTTTTAGTGCCCTGCATCTTTTTAGCATAATCTGGGGAGGCGACGGGGAGAATGTTTAATCTTCTTGCAGGCGCACCATATGTGTTATTTTCTAGTACCTATGTATAATTATCAGTGTTATTTTAATAATCAATTTCAGTGTAATGGCAGGATTTGCTTCAGTTGCATTTAAATCATAATAAAGCTCAATAAAAAGAAAATGCGAAAGAAAGAGAAAATATCATTCAGAGGATTAACAAAACACTCCAACAAAAGCGACCTTTTTAATTTTCATGACGTGATAAAGTGATAGCCTTTTGAATAGACAATTAGGCTCATAAACCTGATACACTAAGGGCTTAATTCACAAACACACATCACCACTAATACATTTGCAGAGGAACTGTATGCTTAACAGGATTAGAATACAGCAAATCATTCATTATTAATGGGAATCTACATTGCCTAGGTCTTCATCCCTAGATAGACCAGTATTTAAATCAAATAATTTAGCACAATTTTAGGAGCTTAATTCTGCACATAGATAGCTCATGGGTAGCTCTGTATTTCCTTGCATAGAACTGGGAATCTTTACTAGGGGCATTGTTAACCTGCCTAAGCTCCTGTATGGGGAGGATTTAGATTCTAGAAGCCCTGTGCCTTGCCGTGTTCACCAATAAAATGAGAAGGAACCACCTGATAAGGGGAGTTCTGTATTTCCTTGCATATTAGCAAACAGGATGAGTTGATCACCCCAGCAAGGCAATGTGCTTTCCATTATTTCATGATATCCTCAACCTTATGAAAGAGATACCCCCATTTTCAGATGTGAAAAATGAGCCTCAAAGAAGTTAAATAATCTGCCCCAAGTCACAGGCAGCAGAGCTGGTATCAAGCCCAGGTTTCTCTGGCTGCTCTGCCTGTTACCTCCAGTTCTGCCCAGGCAGGCAAATGCCCAGCCCCGCCAAAGTACCTTGTAACTAAGGCTACTGCTGCTGCAGTCACCCACCTGGGGAAAGCAAGGCTTGCTAGGTCTTAAATTTAAGCTTCAGAGGATCTCACGCCTAACCAGACCTTTGAGAAGGGCTAAACTAAAGGCCAACTCAATCAGCATCTCACCTCCAACCCAAGGGTCCTGCAGAGACTGTTGTCTATTGGAAGAAGGGTGTACATCAAAACCGCCAGGGATCTCTTCCAAAATAAAAATCTCTCCCACTCCTAGGCAGGAGATTCTGATTCAGAAGGCTTAGTGGTGTGCCTGGACACACTTAGTGGTGTTTGCAGATAAAAGATCTCAACGTCCCCCTGATGATCCAGTTCGGCTGCCCTGGGCTAGGTAAGAACTGTGCCTTTATTCCACATCCTAGTCAGCCTCTATGCCTCGTAAATGTGACTTAGATGGGCCTAAGAAAGCTTCCTTCAGTAGTCAGTTAAACTACATTGAGGGTAAACTTTGAGGAAGAAAAAAAAATCCTGGCTCTGCTGTGCAATCTTGGGCAGATCCCTAATTTCTTAGAGCTTCCACATCCTCATTGGTAGCGTGAGGACCACACTCCCACCCACCCCAGGACAGCATTTGTGAGGGACTGAGCATGCTGACTCACCAAGTGTTTGTTCCTACCCCCTTTCCACCTTGGCACCCACTCAACTTCAATCAAGATCCTGAACAATCACATTATTTTGTTTTAAAGGAGGTTCTACCCAGTGGGCAGACAGCATGGAAATGTGCCCATTTTGTTCTGGCCTCTGTACAACTGTCCATTTTCATTTCACTGTGCATCTCAATTATCAATGGCTTTGGAATAATAGTGTCCTTTGTTACCTCCCAGAAGCCAGGACAGCAAGAGAGACTTCAGTGGGTACCACTGATAGATGAAATTATAAACTCAAAATATAATGTGTTAAGTGGTGGAATGTTCTCATTAGAAAAGGAGTACTCACATTACAAAAGGATTAATGAAAGTTTTTAAAATACTAACAGCCTGAATTGCATTAATCATTGATTACGAGTAAAAGTAAGTAGTAATATATATCCAACTTCTGAAATCCAGAATTCTTAAGACCTTAGCAGGTCTCAGACAAGAAACTTTCTAGTTTGTAGAAGAAAAACAAGGTTCGATGTTCATAATTCCCTTCCCTTTTCAGCCTACTTTGCAAGTTCCTGGGCCTCTGTAGGTCTTCAGGACTGAATCTGGGGCCCTCTTCCTTCACCCCCTACCTTCTCTCCCCAGGGGATCTCATCCATTTTCATGTTGTATCTACACTGAGACCACATTTCTGAATGCCAACCACCAATCTTGACCTGGAGGTCTATGTGCATCTCAATGGTGATACGCCGTAATGGGTTGAATTGTGTCCCAAAAAGAAGATATTTTGAAGTCCTAACTCCCAGGACCTCTGAAATGTGATCTTACTTGGAAATAGGGTTGGTGAAGGGTAATTGATTAAGATGGTATCATCCTGGGGTACAGTGGGCTCCTAATCGAGTGTGACTGACATCTCTGTAAAGAGATGACCATGTGAAGACACAGACACAGGGGGAAGAACACAACATGGAGAGGGACGCAGAGACTGGAGCGATGCTGCCACGAGGCCACCAGAAGCTGGAAGAGGTGAGAAAGGATCCTCTCCCAGAGGTCTCAGAGACAGCAAGGCCCTGCTGACACCTCGATTTCAGATTTCTGGATTCCAGAATTCCAGACTACTAAATTTCTGTTGTTTTTGAGCCACCTGGTTTGTGGCACTTTGTTACATCAGCCCAAGGAAACTCACACAACTTGCAAGCCTGGATGCTGGCGTCCCGTCAGTAAGTGGCACCTCCTGCATTCGGCTGCAGGGAGCAGAGACCCGGGCGATGCCCTGGAGCCTCCTTACCCCCCACCCTGTGGATCTAGCCCAGTCCAGATCCTTCCAATTACCGCCACAGCCACCTCCCACCTGGTGACCCGGCAGCCTCCTAACTGTTGCCCGAGTCTACTTGGGCCACTCTGGTCCACCCTCCACACAGCATCAACTGACCCTTGTACACTTTGGGCCATGTCACCCCCCTGTTGAATAACCCTCTGTGGCTTCCACCGCATGTCAGATGAAACTCAAACCTCCGATGGCTTGCAGAGCCCAGCTCCGGCTAGCGTCTGCCATCCTTCCTGGCACCGTCTGCCTCTCTCCCCTCAGTGGTTAAACCCGACTCGTGAGCCCTCATGTCTTCTCCACATGGCTGTTCTTTTTGCTGAAGTGTCCATGATTCTCCACCAGGTCTCAGCCCCAAAGCCACATCCTCAGAGAAGCGTTCGCTGTTTCCAGCCCTCTGCTATAATCTCTCCTCACACTCCTCGTTTTTCCCTCGCTGCATTTGTCACAGTTCTTAGTCACGTATTTATTAGTGTGGGGGTTATTTGCTGTTGCTATTTTTTTTTTTATGTCTTTCTCTCCCTCACTACAGGCCCCATATGAGCAGAGACAATATCTATTTGTTCTCCTGGTGTTGGCAGAAAGTAGAACAATGCCTGGCTCCTAGGAGGTGCTCTATAAATATTTGTGGAATAGTCCAACCTAAATGCCTCTCTTTGTGGCATGATGAAGTATGGGGATGTGTTGACTCTAAAATAAACACTATTAGCACCAGCACTAACTCTGCTCGCACCAGGAGGGCTGTGGGAACTCGGAGCTGCTGGGAAACATGACATCAGGGACTACCGCCCATGGGGAGATGGCTGCTCATCTGCTTCCTGGACACGCTACAGTTTATGGAGAGCCCAGGCCATAGATTCCTGACTTAGGATATTGCCTAATTGACTCTTGATGCTTTGCAAGACGCTTCCTCAAGTATGATCTCAATGAGGGAGGCTGTGCAGGTGTTAACTATCCCCATTCACAGAAGGACAGGGTTCACATGGATAATGATGCCAGGTCTGGACTCCACGCTGCAGGATAATAATACAACAGAAAGTAGTGCTGCTTTTAAAGAATGACTTTTGGCCAGGCACAATGGCTCACACCTGTAATCCCAGCACTTCAGGAGGCCAGGAGTTCAAGGCCAGCCTGGGCAATAGTGAGACTCCGTCTCTACAAAAATTAAAAAAAAAAAAAAATAGCCAGGCATGGTGTTGCACACCTGTAGTCCCTGCTGCTTAGGAGGCTGAGACAGGAGGATCGCTGGAGCCCAGGAATTTCAGGTTGCAGTGAGCTATGATGATGCCTCTGTACTGTAGCCCAGGCAACACAGTAAGACACTGTCTCAAAAGAAAACAAAACAGAAAAAAAGAATGACTTTCAAATAAAGCAACATATAAGTCTAGCAGGGAATTGATCCTATCATATGGGTGTATCACCTGGATTCCATCAGAGCCACATCTGTGATCACATGACCATTTTTAACAGTAGCAGCTGTATGTAACTTTTGGAACAAGAACAGAAGAAATCAGTCCAAGTGTTTCCTGCCTACCAGTCATTAAGGCAATTTCAACTATCCATTAAGATTTAGATAAAACACTGGATTTTTTTTTTTTTTTACTGAATCTCTAACAACAAAGGAAATTTTAATTCTACCGATTTAGTAAATAAGAGTATCCTAACACAGTCAGGATCCCCACCCCAAAATTAAACTTGTTACCTCTCTGGTGCCAACAACACTCAACTGTCTCTCCTCTGCTCTTCCAGGCAGAAGATCCAGACTACAGCAAAGCACAATTGGTTGATTTGCCAGACTTTTTATCTGTCAAGTACCTTGTAAGGTTAAAAAGGATTGACGCTGCATTTGAGAACTCCTCAAAGATGGTGACAGAGGTTGCCCCGATGCCTGGCCTCAGCCTGGCCAGATGGACTGGTCTACTGCTATTTAGAGACCAAAATCAGCCACCATACAACATTTTCCTGTCAACTTCAGGCCCTGGCAACTCTGGATGAGGTACAGTCCGCTAACAGAACACTCACCTTACTGACAATCACTCCAGTCACTCCCTCCCTCTCCAATATAGCTGCCTCAGCTCCAGCCACCTGCATCTCTCTCCTGCATTGCCAACAAGGCCACTGGCTGGGTCCCCAGCCTCCTCAGCCCCCTCCAGCCCAGATGGTCTTTTCAAATACAATCCTGCAATTCCCAGACTTGACTGTGGCTGAGGCACCTGGACACTGCTGGGAGCTCACAGGGCTGCCACAGAAGATTTTAAGTTTTTGAAGGAAAACACAGTACCCAACATCTGCCTAGCGCTGTCCAAACTACTAGCTCAAGGCAGTTCTCGCTTTTCTCATTAGATCAAGCTACTTTCCTTTCAATGATGTCATATATTAGTGAGGCGTGGTTATCCAGGTTGCTGTGATAAAAAGTGCCTTCTTATATATACCCAAAAGAATTGAACATGGGAACTCAAACAGATGCCTGTACACCGATGTTCATAGCAGCATTATTCACAATAGCCAAGAGGTTAAAAACAACCCAAATGTTCACCAACAGATGAATGGATGAACAAAATGTGGTGTATCCATGCAATGGAATATTATTCGGCCTTATAAAGGAAGGAAATTCTGATATATGCTATAACATGGATGAACCTTGAAAACATCATGCTTAGTGAAAAAAGCCAAACACAAAAGGACAAATAGTATATCACTCTACTACACTTATATGAGGTAGCTAGAGCAGTCAAATTCATAGAGACAGAAAGTAGCACAGTAAACAGCAGGGACTGAGGGAGGGGAGTTCTAGCTGTTTGAATATGACTACTTAATCTACTGACCTGTTCTTTTGGCCTAGGGGCACCATGAAAAAAATTACTGACCCTAAAGTGCCATGAACCAAGACACCACCTGTGAGGTTTACTTATACCAAAAGCCAAGCCTGAATCTCATCCACTCTACAATTTAAAGTAACTACAGGGGACAGAGGAACATGTTAAAAGACACCACCAGGGAAAAGACACCACAAGCAAATCCAAACTGTGGGGAACAAAACAGGACAAAGGAAACCCTGTTCTTCAACAAATACCCTGCTGAGAAATAAAAAGAGAGATGACTTAAGAGACTTAGCAACCAATTGCAATGTATGAACCGTATTGGATCCCGATTCAAATAAACTGTAAAAACATTTTTTTTGGAGAAAATCAGGGCAGATTTAAGAACTGCCTGAGTGGCTGATGTTATTCAGAAATTGTTAATTTTTTTGATATGGCAATGATATTATGGTTCTGGGGTTTTTTAAACAAGTTCTTGTCTTTCACAGATACATAATAAAATGTTGACAGAGAAATGGTATCCGTGACTTACTTGAAAATAATCTAAGGGGGGAAGGGGAGTGAGTGGGAGAAGAGATAAAACAAAATTGGCCATGAATTGATGGGTATCAAACTGGGTGAGGGGATGCATGGAAGTTCAATCCATTATTCATCTACTTACACACATGCGTTGAAGCTTCCCATTTCCAAGTTTAATACATAGATACTTTACAACCTTGTCTCTGCAGCTCCCTCTCCTACTGACTCCTTGGATGTACTCCCAGAATGAAGTTCAGACTTGGGAACACAGCACCATCCCTCGCCCACATTTCGTGTCTACTTACTCACTACGCCAGAGACAGGCTCGCCCCAGACATATGCCCCCTCTCAACTCGAAGCCTTCAGTTAAGCTGTTTCCTTCTTATCCTCTTCTCCGTCCCCATCAGACACCCTGCACATCATGCAGCTCTCAGCATGGCCCCTGCCCCTCCCGGGAGACTCCAGCTGCTGCCCTCCCGGTGGCTGGATTGGGAGCTTTTCCTCAAGGCTTCCACAGCAATATATCTTCCCAATCATAGAGCTTCATAGCTTGTACTTTAATTTCCTATTAACTCATTAGACCGAGTGTTTGGTACATAGTAGATACTCAATAAACATTGTCCAATTAAGAAACAAATAAACAAACCACTGAATAAATATTATCGTTGTCATTACTAATAGGTCTCTCCTGTGAGTTTGCCGTCTACCTAGTCGCGTTGTAAAGCTTTGTTACAGGGAGAAATGGGCCTTCCCTCTCACCTGGGAGGAAGGGCTTGAGGCGTCCCTGAGAATGAAAAGGCACATACATGTAAGGCCACCTGTCTGAGTCACAAGTTGGAGATACGAGGAATTGTGCCAATGTCACAGCTCCCAGAAAAGCCAGAACAGCAAGACCCCTAATCAAAGAGCAGCTGGGTTTTAAGGGGACCTGGCCTGGTTATGGAAATCATGACGGGGAGAAATCCAGTCCTCACCCTCCAGACAGTACCTGGCTCACGCTGGTCCTGAGTCTCCTCAGGTGTCTCCTGGAAGCCTCTTCCAGGCCTGATGTCTTCGGATCGTACCCCCATTTCTGACAGACATCCACGCCTTCATCTGTTCGTTACATAACAACTGTATTGATCGCTGACTGCGGAGCCTCCTCCCCCAGGCTGTGTGCTAGGCAGTGTGACAAATTCAGACGTGCACACTGACAGAGGAAGACAGGTACAGAAATAACTGCACCGCGAAACAGAACGTGCTAAGCACAGGAGAGGAACAGGCAGGGCGCTGGGGAGGCGGCGGCGGAGCTGGGGCCCTGCCAGCCAGGAGCCTGAGCAGAAGCGGCGGGGTAGAGTCGAGCTGCAGCCGTGGGCGGCGGGCGGCTCGGCGGCCGCACCTGCCAGCCGGCGGCGCCGGGCTCCTCGCAGGGCCGGCCCGCTCGCCTCCCTGCGTGTCCGTGGGCCGCCGTGGAGCCGGGCGGCGCGGCCTCACTGCCAGACACAGCGCGGTCCACAGGGGCGGAGGGACCGTGGGTTATCCGCTGTCTCTTCCCGGGGCCCTCTTTAGAGGGAAATGAAACCGCCCAGAAGGCCGCAGCCGGCCGGTCAGCCACGTGGCGAAGACCGGATGTCAGGCCCACGCCGGCCGGGTGAGCGCCGCACCGCGCCAGGGCCGCGTGGGGCCTGCGCGCTCGCCGCTGCCAATTCCGACTCCTGCGTGGGGTCGGAGACGTCTTAGCGCCCGCTCCTCACCCGGAGCAGGCCGCGGGCGTGAGGAGTGGAGGCCTGGGGAGGAGAACGCAGGCCTGAGCGCAGCCCCTCGGCCTCTACGAGCGCCGCCAGGAGCAGCGCCGGCCCGCTCAGGCCGGTGACATCTACGTCCGGGTGGGGCTGTCGTCCGGGCCTCTGTGGTGTCACTTGCTAAACTGCCCAGCGCCTGAGAACCAGCGCTCCACAGCGCGGCTGCCCACCTTGGACCTGAACACCGCCACAGCGCCCCGGCGCGTGGCATCGCAGCTCGCGTGCGCGTGCGCGGCCGCGCTGCTGACTGGAGGCCGGGAGGCCTCGCCGCCGACGGGTCCAGTCACTGCCGGCTGGGAGCACGCCGTCCCCGGTCTCGGTCCAGTCACAGGCCTCTCGGAGCCTGGCCCCTCCTCGTCTGTCAAGTGAGGCAGCAAGGCCACCCACCGCTGTCACCACAGGATTGAAGACAATGTCCCCAAAGTACACAGAGCACCAGCAGGCCTCCCGGAATGGAAGGCGCTGTCGTGGGTTAGGGGACAAGGGATGTGTCAGCTGCTGCCTGGGGTCACCCTGCCCCGGCCCTGTCCCCTCCCTCAGTGTTTCTCCGCCCTCTCAAGCCGCGCAAGCACCAGAAGGGCGCGCGTTCGGGCTTCCTGCCCCCGTCCTCGCTCTCTGGAGTTTTCTTATACAGTGATGCTTATCTGAGGAAAAACATCTGTTCCACTTTCTTTAATCTCTAATTTATCTAATCTCTCTTTGTAAGATAGGTATATGGCTAATGAGTGAATTCCTGCCAAGGGAGCCGAAGTGCTTGTTTCAATTACTTCTTATCCTCGTTGGCGTTGCCCTCTGTGGTACAATATCACACAACATAAATAGAATGAATGGGCCACTTCTTTCCGGCATCTTCATCACTGGCCACTAACAGAGAGCCTTCCAGAATAGGGAGATGTCATTTTCCATGTCTCTACCCGAAGCACCTCACACACGTGCGTCGGAATAAATCTCTTCCTCTGACAAGTGTCCTCACCCCGCCCAAGGCTCAGCCCCAGAGCCCTCTGCGGACGGTGGCCGTGATGGGCAGGGGCCACCAGAGGGCGCCGAAGAGCAGCACAGGCTGCCCCCTCCAAGGCCTGGGCCGCACCAGCCCCGCCGGGGCGTTTACTGTTCGAAAGGGTACTTTTCAGCATCTGTAGACACCTACGTGGTTTTTTACTTTTCCTCTTTTTAATTTAGGTTAGTAAGCAAATATGATTTGCTCCCTTGTGTCCATAAAAGGAAGCAAAGATGATATTATTTGAAAGAATAGATTTGGATCAAAAGAAAGTGAATGGAATTTGAGAATTGAAATGAAATTTGAGAAATTTATATTGCTGTGGGGCTGGGGGGAGTGGACCCCTCCTTGCGCAGATGAGGAAATGAGGATCAGAGCTCACAGTGTCACGACCACTAAATGGAAGGCCAGGCCAGGCCTCTGACTTCAGTTTTTCAATCCTCCACACGGCCCTGTCAGAGCCAGAAAACACAAAGGACCACCAGACATGCCAAGTAGCCCAATGTCCTCCTTTTCTGTCCTCTAGTCTCTCTTACCCTGCAAAAAAGACAATCCACATTTCATATTATACCCTGAGTTTTCACTTTACATTCCCATGTTTACCTTTTTTGGTTTTTTTTGGTTTTTTTTTTTGCAATTTTTTTTATTGAGGTAGAGTATACATAACATACAATTTACACTTCAGCCATCCTCTGGTTCAGTTCAGCGTACATTCACGTCATTATGCAACCATCACCACCATCCCTCTCAGGAATTTTTTCATCTTCCTTAGAGGGAACTCTGTCCCCAATAAACAGTAACTGGTCCCTGATAACCACCATTCTACTTTCTGCCTCTATGAATCTGCCTATTCTAGGAATCTCATGTAAGTGGAGTCACACAATATTTGTCCTGTTGTATTCGGCATCTTTCATTTAGCATGATGTTTCCAAGGTTCAGCCATGTGGCCCATGGCAGAACTTCATTCCTGTTATGGCTGAATAACATTCTGGGACTTTCTTTCTTACAAGTCGATGTGCAGAAAAATGCTACAAGGCAAATGGAGGTTAACGCTGGTCCTTACCTTTCAGAGGAGTAGTCTAAGCTGAGGTTCCATTGCCTACATCTGCACAACCTACCTGCAGATTCTGGAGGCAACGGGGGATTAATTTCACAAGTGGGCTATTTCTCACACCTACTTGTGTTTTATAAACAAAGCCATTATGGGTTTTATCGTGTTCCCATTATTGAGGTGACTATTATTAGTTATCTATGTGCTTTTTGTGTATCATTTAATCCCTGCATACACTCTGTGAGGAAATTAAGGTTTAAAGATTATGTAACCAGCTCAGGGTTACACAGCTGGGAAGCCACATCTGGGGTTCCAGCTCAGTTTCACTGCATCAGAGCCAAGCTATGGCTGAGGTAAATTAGCTCACAGGAAACCCCTTCCCCAGCCCAGCAGGTGGAAGCTGTCCTCAGAGGAGTACTGTACTCTCTCCCCAAACCAAAGCTCAGGCTACTGATTTATTTCAACAGGCCGTATCTGGGCACCTTCTTTTGTCCTTAGATGCTTTGAGGAGGCACTATGAAGAGGACCAGCCTTCCTGGGGCTCATATCCAATAAACAAAGACTTGTTGAGTTGTATCTTTGACTTGTTGGACTTACATTTAGGAGTAATATGGAATTTTGAGTGTACTAATTTTCTGATGTGTTTTGACCAAAATTGAGAAATAGTTTGCTGGATGGCATTCAGGTGGGAAAACATAATACCCTGATTCTTACTCAAACACTCTGCCCGGGCATTTCCAAACTTCACTTGAGGTTGCAGAGATATCTGACATTCCATGAGATCTGTGATGTTGGTCCAATAACTCCACTCATGTATGAAAAGGGCAGGAGTTGGAGAAGGGGAGGTGTTGCCAAGATTCCAGCCAAAATGTGTTTTTAAATCATATGGCATGTTTTCTGAAACCGTATTTACTCCAGGAATACTGAGGGAAACAAAAAAGGAAGCTCGGACCATCCTGTTTTGTATTCTAAATACCGAATTTTCTTCAACTCTAGTAATTTCCATAAGATGAAGCAACACTCAGAAAAGCTTGGCTGATCCTAAAAGGATTAAAATCTGTCTCCGTGGTCCAAGAGCCCTTTGTAATTTCAGCTGCTCATTGTCCTTGACTGTATTTGCCAATTTTCTGATATGAAAATGCTGGAGGTATTCAGCACCACGCCTCGGTTTGGGAGGTCTGCAGACACAGCGGTGGGAAGAGATGCTGTCTGATTTTCACACTTTGATTCCCTCAGCTCCCACCCAATGTGTTACCAAGGAAAAGGAGGCGTGTTCTCTAGTTTGTGGTTAAGCAGAAACACTTGTACCAATAAATGGGAAATATAAAGGAAAAGTGCTTTTGCTCCTGCTAAAGAACCTAAGACAAAAGTAGGAAAAATCTGTTACCCATGAACAATGTTTTATTTTAATATCTTTGTATGCTAAGAGTGACACAACGATAACGCAAAGGTTATTTCCACTAAGAAAGTTCCACTAAGAAAGTAATTTGTAGGTAATATTCCAAAGGAAGTTGGGAAAAAATGAAACTTTTCATACAAATAATGTAGTAAATGCCCAGCTACTTACTTGGCATGATAGAACCACATGGATGGTTCCAAAGTATCTCAAATGGAACCATCTCATGATACTTTCTGTCAACCACATTCATCTCCAGCTGCACAAGGCACAAACCAAGGGGTTGTCCTTAACACTCAAGCCCCCCCCCCACCCTGTATTGATCACTAGGCTTATTCATTTTGCCTTCAAAATCTTTCTCAACTCTCCTGTCTCCATCCGCACCCCCAGGCGACATCCCCTCCCCTGGAGCACAAAGTGAGCCTCCTTCACTTATTTTCTCTTGCACCTGCCTCCACCCAATCACAACACCTTTGAGAACAGACCTGACTGTTCCCACCAGCCCCATGTAGACTCAAAACTCTCCAAGAGCCTATGGAAAGGGGCCCTAATCCTAATTATTGCTGCCCTTCTTTATCTGCCCAGCCCCCCACCCCAAATCCCCTCGTTGGGGTTTGCCCATGGGACCTGTTTTGACCCACAGGATGTGATCAGAGGTGGCACACGTACATTTCTAACAAGTCACAGGGGTGTCCAAGGCTGCAGGTCCAGGGACCACCCGGGAGAGCCACTGCCTCACAGTTCACAAAGCACTGTCACTTGGAGAGGTCAGAAGAGAAGACAAGCAACTTCTGGGCCCCAGGGTACATGCTGCCTGTCACATTGACGCCTGATACACTGGGAGGCTTGACATGGATGCTCTCCGTCCACACCCACCCACATCCACACACCAGTGCTTCCGGAATTCAGAAGCTCCATGCTGAAACGTCCATTCTTAAATAGGCCACATTTTCACAATGAGGCAGAAACATGCCACGAATCACACTCCAATGTTTATAAATGCCAGGTTTGCTCAGTAGCATTGGGAGAGTGAGGGGAAAGGGGGCCGTTCCCTTCCGGTTGCTTGGCGTTGAGTTTCTTTTTTGTTGGGGGATTGGGTTTTGGGCCGGGGTTCCCCCATT